CCCAGCACAGCTCTCCGTGACGCTGGCAGACCCTCCCGTGTCCCCTCCTTCTCCGAGGTGTCACCACATGGAGTGACCCCCCCCCGGAGCAGCAGGTTTTACCAGCACGGTATGAATTTAATTGTGACATATATACAGGCGCTGCCAGGATTATCGCCACCGTTTGGTACAGATTTAGCCCCAAAAACCCCTTCCAGAGCACTCGGGCAAAGAGCCCCCAGCCCAACCAGGCCGCATAAAACTCAATTCTTCCCAAACCAGAGTTTTCCAAGGAATAGCCCCCCAAAATCAAGTAATTAAAAAAAAAAAACCATATCGTGGGGCTATTCTCCTTCTAACACACGCTCAAGGAGGCTCCAACGATAGCCCAGCTCCCTCGACGTCATCTGGAGCTTTGGATTTAACGAGGAACCACCAGATTTTGGACCAGACAGGGCTGGGGGGGGGAGGTCGTGAAGAAGCCACAAGCTTGTCCAACCTTCCCCCACCCCAAAATTGTAGAGGGACCCCCCCCACACCCCAGCTTTGTTGGCCCATCACAAAGAGAAGAGCTGGGCAGGCGGCAGCGTCACGGTCACGTCCTCGCTGAATTCCCAGCAAGATCCGAGTCAAAGGAGACAGCCTGGATTTTGGGGTTTCTTTAAATCTCACCGGATTAAAAGCTACCCCCAATCCCACCCCCCCAACCCTCCAAGAATAAATATCTTTGTAGAAACCGCAAGTCAATTCCGTTTCCTTCCACCCACGTCCCCAAAACACAAAATAAAGAGCTGGATGTGCAGACGGAGGGATCTTCTCTCCTGCCCCGAGCTCTTCCGGAGGCTGCCGGGGGAACCGAGCGGGTTCCAGAGAAATGAAGTCAGCATTCCCTTTTTTTTTGGGGGGGTATGAGGTTTTTTTTGGTATTCGTAGCGATGGTGACATATTAAGAGCTCCCCCAAACCACCTCGTTGATTGAGAGAAAGGAGAGAGGCTTGATTTACATAAAGTCATCAGAATCGTTGCCGTCCTGTAGGAAGAAAAGACACACCCCCCCCCAAAAAGAAAAATCAGGATTATTGTGCACGTTGAACAAGAAAGTGGTGAAATGGTGCCTCCGGCAGGATTTCACAATTGGTATTTTTTCTGGTTTCCTCCCATTTGCATACAAACACCATGAAATCAGACCAAACAGACTGATTTTCCTGCTGCTCCAGAGTGGGACCAACCCTGTGTGAGGCTCCGTGTTGGGAAAGAGCAGTTGGCACTTGGGTGTCCCCAGGATTGATCACCCCCCTGGCACTGGAGCAGGTGGAGACCATCCCCTGAGCTTCTTCCCAAGCTGGGAGAAGGAGGTTGGCATCACATGGAGGTCAGGAGATGAGGAGAGAGCTCCTGACCAGCTTTTCCACCCTCCCTCTCCCTGGGCAGTGTCACCAACAGGGCGCACATGGTCTGTGTGTGACAGGAGACACTTGTGCTTCAACCCAGTTCAAGTTCCTGAGGGGATGTCCCCACCAACCAGGAGGAAAATCAGGAATTCTTCAAAAACACACGCTCTTCTAAGTGGTTAGTCAGGGATTAGGGTGCAAAAAAGGTGGGTTTTAAGCTGAGGGTCACTCAGAGGAGCTCCAAGCTCTGTTTCCCACCACGGAGGAACCTGCAGATGGGACAGACCTTGGGCAAAGGGTCATACCACCACACCAGGATCTCTCCTGAACTTCAGCCCCAGCCCTCCTCCTCCTCCTCCTCATCTCCCTCCCTGCGCTTCTCTCTGGCTCCTTTTCCACCATGTTGCTCCAGTCACGGGCTGAGACCACCCTCTGCAAGAACATCCCTTCAAACTTCCTCTTCTCTCCTCAGCACCCATTTTCATCCCTCCCCAAGTGGTGTCCCTTCACGTCCAGTTCATTTCTTGTTAAAAATGTCCATTTTCCTCCCCCTTCCCTTGAAGGAACGAGGTGGCAGGTCATGGGTGCCACCAGGGAGACCTCCTCTCATACAGCTCAGAAGCTTGGTGACCCAATTAAAGCTCTACTGGTTCCTCTGCTCGGGTGGGAAAGGAACTGGGAGGACTTTTCCAGGGGCACAGGCTCCTCCTGGCTGTCACACGAGCCGTAGGGCCCTCTGGGAAAGCAGCAATGTCACCCAGGAGAGGTGACAGAGATGTGCTCTGTGTCACAGGAGTCACCCACCCCAGATGGAGCAGCTCTTACCTGATTTGAGGACATGTTCTCTGCCTTCATCAACGATGAGTAGCTCCTGTAAGAAAAATCACATTTTCTGCCATGATACCTTTCCAAATCTCACCAACAGAGAGGCGTTTGGATACAACGGGAGCAAAAACCAGAAAAAAACAAATTGGGCTTGCCTTTTTTTTTTTTTCCTTGGATACAACGGGAGCAAAAACCAGAAAAACACAAATTGGGCTTTTTTTTTTCCCCCTTTCTGAACTCAGGCCGGACAAGTATTTGCTTATCTCGTGGTTCCTTTGGCTAATTAAACCAACCAGACAGAGCCACGGCACTTTGCTGACTCCTCCATGTTTTTTGTTTAAGAATTACCAGTCACCCCAGGAGGTGGAAAATCCTTTTTTTTGGGGGAAGGCCAAGAGGGAGCTGTGGGGCAAGGTTAAATAAGCAGGGCAGGGCCCTCGCTCAGACTTCCCGGTTCAGTTTGCTTCTCTAAGCCCTTCTTTTTGGGAGCTCTCCCTGTGGTAAATCACTTAGGAAATCACGGAGTTATTCAAATACCAATTTTGCTGTCATTTACAGAAAAACATGACTTACTCCAGCTTAAAAAGGAGCTTTCTGGGGCCGGCCAGTGCTCAGGACCAAGGTCACACCCGCTGCAGGGCGGACAGAAAGGGCCACAGCGACATTTCAAAGCCCCAATCCCTCATTCCACGCTCAAAGGAGCGTGCAATTGAGGATTCACATGTGTTTTAATTAACACTGGGATGCAAGGAGATGCTGAAAAACTCCAGTGAAGTCTTTTCCGAGGCTGGCACGAAGCTGGAAGAGATTCCTGCCCTCCCAGTGACGGGGAGAACCAAATGGCTTCCCCAGTTTCGGCTTCCCCAGTTTCCCCGGAGTTGGGGACCGGTTTCAAAAGCCACAGCCCTTCCTCTGAACAATCCAGGTTTGTTTCAGGAAAAAAAAAGGGGGGGAAATGCCTTTATTCTCAAGACAAAGGGAGTCGCTGGGCCGTGAGGAGCAGGTCAGCTGAGCCCCGAGTCACCCGTTAACCAGCAGCTGCTGACCCAGAACTCGCCGGGCGCCGAGGAAAACGGTGGAGCTGGAAGCTGGCACTGGGATTTATTACTTACCTAAGTTCTTCCAACTCTTTCTTCTTCTTCATCTCTTCCTTTTCCTTCCGTTTCATCTCTTGGATCTGGGCTTTTTTCTCGTTTCTCTCCTCTCTGTCCCGGGCTTCTTTCTCAGCAGCCAGGTCTGGGAAACGCTCCACTTTTGTCTTCTCCAGCCGGTTGAGGATCTCGTTGACCTTCTTCTCCACCGTCAGCATTTTCACCTTTTGGGAGTGCAAAGAACTATGATCTTTATAAAAAAAAATACCTTTTTTTTCTTTAAATTTTTTTTTTATTCTGGCAACTTTCTCAACGGAAAGAAAACACCCAATTTCCACTTTACACATGGCTGAAACCCACAAAAACAGATGCTGAGGAAAATCCCCGCCGCCGAGGCCTATTCAGCAGGTTGTGTAACACAGAGAGGCCCCCTCCCAGCGCTCAGCAGCACACAGCTAACAAACACCAGCATTTCTGAGTACATACAAAAGCATTACTAATGTCATTTCTTGGCACAGGCCTCAACAAAGAGGCCAAGAGACAAGAACCGGTCTCTGCCGATCGCCGAAGAGGCGGCTGGAGGTTTCTACGGGCCGTTTTGGGGAAGAGAAACTCACGTGCTGCTTGTTGACTGCAGGGGTTTTAGCACTTCTTGCCCTGGTACAGACTTGTTCTAGTCAAATAATGGCATCAAGAGAGAGGCTTCTCTCCCAGCAGTCATAGAATCATGGAGTGGTTTGGGTGGGAAGGGACCTTAAAGCCCCCCCAGTGCCACCCCCTGCCCTGGGCAGGGACACCTCCCACCACACCAGGTTGCTCCAAGCCCCCTCCAACCTGGCCTTGAACCCCTCCAGGGATGGGGCAGCCACAGCTTCTCGGGCCAACCTGGGCCAGGCTCTCACCACCCTCCCACCAAACAAGTTCTTCCCCACAGCTCAGCTCCATCTCCCCTCTTGCAGTGTCCACCCCTTTCCCCTCCTCCTAGGGCTCCCCTCCCTCAGCCAGAGTCCCTCCCCAGCTTTCCTGGAGCCCCCCTTCTTGAGGGACTGGCAGGGGCTCCAAGGTCTCCCCGGAGCCTTCTCTTCTCCAGGCTGACCCCCCCCAACTCTCTCAGCCCCCCCTCCCAGCAGAGGGGCTCCAGCCCTCCCAGCATCTCCAGGGCCTCCTCTGGCCCCGCTCCAACAGCTCCATGTCCTTCTGCTGTTGGTGGCCCCAGAGCTGGAGGCAGCACTGGGGGGCTCTCCCCAGAGCGGAGCAGAGGGGCAGAATCCCCCCCCTCCCCTTGCTGGCCACGCTGCTGGGGATGCAGCCCAGGGGTCAGGGGGCTTGCTGGGCTGCCAGCCCACGTTGCCACTTTGTGTTGAGCTTCTCACCCACCAACACCCCCATGCCCTTCTCCTCAGGGCTGCTCTCCATCCATCCATTCTCCACCCAGCCTGGATTTGTGCTTGGAATTGCCCTGACCCAGAGGCAGGACCCTGCCCTTGGCCTGGCTGAACTTCAGGAGGTTTGCACGGGGCCACCTCTCCAGCCTGTCCTAACTACAATTTAAGCATCATATGACCTGCAGACACCAGGTCAGGCTTGGGAACAGCTCTGAGCACTGGCCTGACTCTACACCGGAGCCGAACAGCTCTGCCTTTGAACAGGTTTAACAAATCCAGAGGCAGCACAGGGTGAGACAACAGATTCTAACGCAGTGACAGACACCTCCAGGACCCCGCACAGCCCTCCTTTTGCACGGCAAGTTCAAGTCCTGAGCCCTTTCAGAGGAGTGATGACACCTGGGAGCTGATCTAAAGCAACTGCTCATCTCTTTGGCTGCGAGAAGAGCTGATTTAGGTGGTGATAAATTCAAGCAGAGAGCACAGACTCACACGTGATACCACTGGGCATCAGCAAAGACGTGTCTGCTACATTGTGCTGCAGTTTGGGAACACGTGGCGCAGGGGCTGACACTCAGCCAGGGATTTTCGGGTGACGTTCAGGCAAACACAACCCTGGGATCTCTCTTGGGCTTCAGGAGAGGATGGTTCCCTGCCTTTGGGGCAAACGCTGAAGATAATTCATCCAGCTCCTCCCTGGGGAACGTCACGGGCTGTCCCCTCTGAGGGCAAACACTTACATCCTTCTGCCTGTGAAAGCCGATCTGCCCCACGTCCATGTCTGCTGTCTTCTTCAGGTTGGTCCACGGCGTGTACACCACGTTGACGTTGTTCATCTTGCAGCCTGGGGGGGGTGGAAAAGAACAGAGGGAAATCATCTCCCTTCTCCCCCTGCTGAAAGAGCTCTTCAAATCGCGTGGAAACTGGCAGTTATTCTTGTCACCAGCATTACCAGCTCGGCGAGAAAGGAGGAAAGGGAGAAGCCCTTCCAGGGTTGCAGAGAAAGGGGAGAAAACCACGACACGGTTTTCAGCGGTAACGCGAGCGCGGCGGCGGCGTTTAACGAGCTCCAGATGGAGATGGGCTCTGCCAGAAGAGCAACTGCTGGGGAAGGGGGCCCCGAGGTGGTGTTCAGAGAAGAGCCTGCGAGGCCTCCCTGGCTGGGACAGCAACACGGAGGCACAAACGGGAATTTCAGAGACTTCCATCCAACTCCTCCGTAGGAGAACGTAAGGGGCAGCCCCAGCAGCTGCAAGTGCCACCTGCTTCCTTCCACAGGTTTAACAGGGAGCATCACAGCAGAAACTGGGCTCCCCAGTTCAAGAAGGACAGGGAACTGCTGGAGAGGGGACAGCAAAGGGCTACAAAGATCGTGAGGGGCCTGGAGCATCTCTCTTACCAGCAGAGGCTGAGGGACTTTGGTCTTTTTAGTCTGGAGAAGGGAATATTGAGGGGGGATCTGATCAACACCTAGAAATACTTAAACGGTGGGTGTCAGGAGGATGGGGCCAGTCTTTTTAGAGTGGTGCCCAGGGACAGGACAAGAGGGAATGGGCACAAACTTGAACATAAGAAGTTCCATCTCAACATGGGGAGGAACTTCTTCACTTTGAGGGTGGCAGAGCCCTGGCAGAGGCTGCCCAGGGAGGTGGTGGAGTCTCCGTCTCTGGAGACATTCAAACCCTGCCTGGACACATTCCTGTGCAACCTGTTTTGAGTGGACCTGCTCTGGGTGGGGGTGGATGAGATGATCTCAGAAGGTCCCTTCCAACCCCAACCGTTGTGTGATCCTGTGGCATGCCGCAAATATTTGAGCTGAAAAACACACACTCGTGTGCACCAAAAACACCCACCACAAGCACCTCACACCCATGTTACCTTGGATGCTGTTTGCCTTCACCAGATGGGCACAGTCTATCAACACCTCCTTGGGAATGTCATCCACCGTCTGCCCCTGCGACAGAGCAAGGCAAGGTGAGATCTGTGCGGCGCTGACGGGACCGGTGGGGACATGAAGGTGGGGGAAAGCAGGGCATGATGCTCTGCAAATTCAACCAGGACCTCCACGCTCCACATTTTGAGCCTTGTGTGGCATTTGGAAGCCTCAAAAGCGATTTGCACCCTGCTTTTCTCCAAAATACCCTCCCATTTTAGTGGGGTGATGGTTCCTGGACACACGCTTGATGTCCTTGACACCTCTTGGTGTCGGGACAGAAATCAATGTTCTGCTGGCCCGCATTAAACTTCCTCTTCATCCTCACGTTATTTGGTTACGGAGGCTGTAAATTCAGCCCAAAGATGGTCTTGTGCACAAGAATCACTGCAGAAGGGGTGCATGAAGTTCTGACATGGGGGAATATTATCTTTTTAAAATACATCTACCTCAGGATTACCTTGTGTAGCCGAAGGTACACGTGGGCGGAAGAGAGTTTATCCACATGAAACCTAAAGAATTAAAAAAAAAGCACATTTAACGAGGACAAGAGATGGTGAGCTGAAGGATTTACCTCCCAACAAGTGACAAAACAGCAGTCCCACAGACAAGGAAAGTGTAGAAATGTTCACAATATATGTGTTTAAAAGCAGGCGAGGGAGCCAGAGCCTGTCCTTCAAGGAACATCAGGCCCCCCAATGGGACACTGAGAAAATAACCCTTTCCCTCTCCCTTTTCTTCTTTTAAGTTCTGCATTCCAGGGAGACAACGCTCCCAGGATGAGCCTACGCATGTGGTGTTTTGGTCTGACTATTTATTTTTTAGAGAAACAGCAAATTTGTGAACTCAGCAGCCAGCACTGCCAGTTACACCATTTACACGACTGGTTTTAAGCTCATAAAGCAAAAAAAACCACCAAAGTTTCTCACTGCTCAGCACCATGCTCCATAGAGCCCAGGGCTGTTTGTCTCTATATGGCTCCAGCTGCTCTTCCCCAGATCTCTTCTATCTTCACTGTGTTTTTACCATTATCACCCTATTTTTAAGCCTCTGTCCCAATCAACACTCGCTCCAATCCTGCAAAGCTCCAAGGACAGAGCACACGGGGGACAACTGATCTCATGTCACCTCCCAACTTTTCTTTAGATCATTTTCTTTTTTAACATAAAAGGACTTTTTCCTTCCTGCTGCAAGCCAGAAAACCCTCCAGCACCAACACACGAGTTCTCACTTGTACCTCCTGGGCCTCCTACCCCAATTCTGCAGCACCTCTCTTAAGCAGAAATAAGTCTAAAGATGCTAGACACCGTCAGGAGAACAATGCCCAGGAGGTCTCTGCAAGAAGCCCTACAAGATTTTGTGGGGATGGCACTAGGACATGAAAAAAAGCCACCTGGATGATGTTGGTGTGAGCTACAAGAGAGGAAAGAGATGGGAAAAGACGACTTTGGGCTAGAATTTCAAGGTCACTCCGAAATAACAGGATAAACACACCTTAAATTACGTAGTGATAGGAGGAACGTGAGCCAAAACGAACATGATACTGCTACAGCAGCGTGTTATTCAGCTGAAGCACCATCTTTTCTGCTAGAAAATCAAAAATAGACTCCCTTGCCAGCTAACTGACTGCTGACAACATCCTCTGTGGAGCACGTCGGCTCCAGTTCCACCAAGACACCTCAGCTCATCCTGGCAAAGGCCACCTTGAAGAGTGAGGAGGAGCAGAACAAACACGGCGATTCTTGTTAGAAATCATTAACGAAGGAGAATCATTAACACATCTAGTCTGGCAGCAAGCAAACCCCTTTATAAACATCTCATAATCCTCCTCAGGCTGGAAAGTTTCTGACCTAATCCAGGCAGCAAAGGTGCCACCAATTGCTGGTAAAAGGATTGGGAATTTCCCTTCTCTTGTTTTGCCTCTTCTGATGAGATCTCAACACCAAAACCGATCCACAAATGGCAGAGGGCTTCCTTCTGCCCGCCTGGTCACAGCTGTAGAGGGTCTGCTTAGAGCAGGAATCAAAATATCACACTCTGCTGCTGCTTCTCACCAACCACAACTGCTGAGACAGCCACGGGTGTTTTACAGGATGGGCCATGGCACACACAGGGGGGACATGAAGCACACACAGAGGAAAAAGGCACTGAGGGAGAAGAGACAGCTTCTTCTGGGCACAGCGTTGCTCAAAAACCTTCTGGTTCCATCCCCAAGTCCCATCCTGCTCCCTGATTTCTCCATCAGCCTTTTGGGTTTTGCTTTTCTGTGCACAGAGATACCCAGGAGCTCCTATTGCTGCTCGGTTCAGGAGGGGGCTCTCCCTTACAAACCCCGAGCTGCCCATCAGCTCTGCCTGTTCCCCAAAGACAGTGAGCCAGCACCTATATTCCCAAACACAAATATGGGGTTATCCCTACTCCAGCAGCTCCCTGCAGGGATAAACCCCACAAAATTTCACCAAGGGGCCAGCTCTTATGATGGACAAAGCAGGGGATGAAGCAGGGGAATGAATTAGGAATAAATGGTGTCCCATCAAGGACACTGAGGTCTCCTGCCATCCACCTCCACCCTGGGATTGCATTTAAACTGCTAAATAGCCTTGGAAAAAAAGAGATTTCACAGTGTCTGAGGGTTGTTATGGTCATTTGGCTCAGGTGTACAGTGAAAGGCAACTTGTTTTCAGGGAGTTCCAGTACCTACCAGATATCTTCAGGCCAGCCATACTTTATTAGGTCTTCATCTGTGGGGAATAAAACATCAGTGAGCAAAGCCCAGGATCCCACCATCAACAAGAAATCAAAGTACCTGTGGAGCTATTTTTCTCTAGATAGATATTTTTCCCAGTTAATATAGCTTTTATTTGTATCTGAAGGCAGTTACCCTGCCCAGAGAATTTACAAAATGTATCTATTTTAAAAGTCACAGAGTGGATTTCAGAGGGGTACGTCAGAACCACTCACAAGGGCAGGCAAGTTCTCGAAGAATATTTCAAGTTAACACATACAAAGACATCATTTCAAAATGACCTTAATTCCCCCCAAATCTAAATCTAAGCCATTAGGCATCATTAATTAATGTACTTACTTTCGTACTTATCTTTTCCCATGTAAATGGTGTAAACGGAGGGAACAACTGAGGGACAGAAAGAGGAAAACAAATCAAAAAGGGTTTTGGACAAATTCTGCACAGAATAAAAAAACACACGGGTCCTGGTCATAGAAATTAGAATGAAAACTGCTCCATCCGTCCCTCCCTCCCACTCCCCTCCTGGGAGACAAAAAGGAAGATTGTTTTGTGTTTCCTCCTGATTTTGTCCCAAATACTTCAGAGGACTTTGGAAAGTGGAATTTCCACCATTTTCCACTGAAGATTATCCAGCAAGGAACAGCTTTCCGGGCAAAACTCCTTCAACATCCAGGTGGTTCAGGTCCTATCTGTGTAATGGAATAATCTGTTGAATTAAGCCCCCGCCTGTGAGCCAGAAAGGCTGACGTCGTATTTACAGTCTGGGATTAATTCCCTGGAGTGAAACACCTCATCTGCCCGTCCCTTGCATCCCCAAAGCACCAAAGGCCCAACGTGAACCTCCCCCAGGTAACCCGGGAGGATTAAAACTCCAGTGGAAAGACTGAAGTGGCATAAACAGCCTTTGGTGAGTCGTTTGTCTCATCTGTGCCTTTTTGGGGATGCTTATAACAAGGTCCTTGTCTTCCTTAGGGCTCATTTCATCAGGCAGTAAAGACTCCACCAATTCTAGGAAACCAAACAAGTGTCCCTTCAGCGTCTGTCTCTCCAGTCGGACGGACACAGAGCAGGCAGAGGGTGGCACAATCAGGAAAATCCTGAAGAAACAACTGAACAACCTGCTTTAAAAAAAAGATAATAATTCTCTCTTCTTACACACAGCAGCAGGGAAATCCCAATTTCACGGCGATGGACAGGCTGGAGAGCTGGGCAGAGAGGAACCTGATGAAGTTCAACCAGGGCAAGTGTTGGGTGCTGCCCCTGGGGAGGCCCCATCTGGAGCACTGGGACCAGTTCTGGGCTCCCCAGTTCCAGAAGGACAGGGAACTGCTGGAGAGGGGACAGCAGAGGCTACAAAGATGATGAGGGGCCTGGAGCATCTCTCTTAGGAGGAAAGGCTGAGGGACTTGGGCCATTTTAGTCTGGAGAAGAGAAGGCTGAGGGGGGATCTGATCAACACCTAGAAATACTTCAAGGGTGGGTGTCAAGAGGATGGGGCCAGGCTTTTCTCAGTGGTGCCCAGTGACAGGACAAGAGGGAATGGGCACAAATTGGAACATAAGAAGTTCTATCTAAACATGAAGATGAACTTCTTTCCTGTGAGGGTGGCAGAGCCCTGGAAGAGGCTGCCCAGAGAGGTGGTGGAACAAATTTATTTAAGAAATGTTCAGAAGAGCATGAAGTGTTTCCATATACAAGAAAAATCACGAAGCCGGGTACTCAAATCCTTCTCATTAATGAGCTTAATCTCTAGAGTTGAGGGAGACAACACACAAAATACTAGTTAGTGGTTACAGCAAGGGGTAAAAATCACACTGAAACTTCCGCGAGGTGGTTGTATATCGATGAACTGACTTGGGGACAAACAAAAAAAGGGATATTCCTGTGCTACATTCCATATCATCAGCCCCTACTGCATCAAACCACATATTTGTGATGCTTTAGAAGCAGCTGAACTTTTTGTGTGGGCAAGGTAACAAATCTGGCTCTCATCAAAGGAAAAATATGAGAGATTTTCTGCACTGTGCCTTCCCTCAAACTCCCGACAGCTGTACACTTGAGAAAGCTTTTCAGAAGTCCCTCCCCGGTGCTGTCATCCATCTGAGGCTTGTTGCTAACAAGAACTTGCTACAAGACCTTGAGGTGCTGGAGCGGGTCCAGAGAAGGTCAATGGAGCTGGTGAAGGGTCTGGAGCACAAGTCTTGTGAGGAGAGGCTGAGGGAGCTGGGGGTGTTCAGCCTGGAGAAGAGGTGGCTGAGGGGAGACCTTCTCACTCTCTACAACTCCCTGAAAGGAGGATGTAGCCAGGGGGGGTCGGTCTCTTCTCCCAAGGAACAGGCCATGGGACAAGAGGAAATGGCCTCAAGTTGCACCAGGGGAGGTTTAGGAGATTGGGAGGAATTTCTCCATGGAAAGGGTTGTGAAGCCTTGGCAGAAGCTGCCCAGGGCAGTGGTGGAGTCCCCATTCCTGGGGGGATTTCAAAGCCGGGCAGACGTGGTGCTGAGGGACATGGGTCAGTGGTGGGTTTGGCAGTGTTGGGTTGATGGTTGGACTCGATGGTCTGAAAACTCTTTTCCAACCGGGGCGATTCTGTGACTCCAGAACCACTTCCTCAGCTCAGGGAACCCCTCAAGCTCCTGCAATAACTTTAAATTGTGGCCAATACCGGCCCAAACCGAGTCCTTTACGTTCAGCCCAGCCGAGGGGCTGGTACAAAGGCACGGACGGGCCGGAGCGGGGGTGCTCAGAGGGGCGGGAGGACGGGCCAGTCCCGCTCCCTGAGGAACCGGACCGGGCCGCGGCCCAGCACCCCCTCACAGCGGCGGGACCCGGCCCCGTACGAGCTCCCCCGCCGCGCCGCGGGGCCGCTGAGGCCTCCAGCCGCCCTCCCCTCGCTGACTCACCGTTGGAGGTGAAGTAGAAGACCATAGCGGCGGCTCTCTCGGCCCGCCCGGCCCGTGGCTCCGCACGGCGGCCGCTCTCCCGCACCACCAGCACCGGCCGACCGGATGGTTTGGGACCGGGGGCGGAACTGAGGAAGGCGCATGCGCCGGCACCCTCCCCTGCGGGCGGTGAAGCCGTTCCGAGCACTGCGCTTGCGTGCGGCTGCCGGGAGGGGGCGGTGACGGCCCCTTTGCGCATGCGCAGTCTGCCCGAGAGCGGGTGGCGCTGTGCTCTGCGCATGCGCACTCCCCCCGCCTATTGCGCATGCGCGGGGGTGCTGCGGGTCCCTCTGTGTTGCGGGGTATCCCAGAGGTCTCGCGTAGAGGACCAGCACAGTTTATTATATTTTTTTTTCCTGCGTAAGCCTATCTAACCTCCTGAGCGTGCTGCCCGGCTTGTTGCGGGCTGCAGGGTTTTGCTTTTCAATTGCCAGCACTGCTTTAAGGAGGATGCTTTTCGCAGCAGGGCTCTGGTGGCCCAGTTGAAAGCAAAAGCCGCGCTGGGCACCCCTTTGCCGCCCCCTCAAGCCTTTCTAAACGCCTCTCGGTTCACTCCGTCCCTTCGTGGCCCGAAGTTTGCCGCTGTACGGCGCACGGACTACAGCTCCCATGGTGCTGCGCGCCCTCCCCGCAGCGCGCAGGCCGCCTTGAGCTCGCGAGGCACGCTGGGAGTCGGAGTCCCGCTGGGGATGCCCGTGTGGCGAGCCCTGCTATCTGATCGGCTGGGAAACGGGGGAGGGCGGGAGCAAAGCGGCGCGCCGCGGGTAGGCCAATGGCGGCGAAGGATGGGTGAGCGACGAGGCGTTGGGCCAATGGCAAGGCGAGGGCGGGCGCGCGGGAAGAAGGCGCGCGGCTTTGAAGGCGCGGGAGCGATGGCGGCGGCGCTGAGGTGAGGGAGAGCGGCTGGGCTGGTTTTTCGGGACCAGTGATGGGCCGGGGCGCAGGGCTTGTACAGGGGATCGACGGGGCGGGTATCAGGGCCTGGTGCGGTTCTGAGGCGCCTGCAGGAGCTGAGGGGTATTGGGAAGGGTCGCTGGGCCCGGGGCCTGGTGGGGTGTGAGGGCTGTGAGGCCCTGGGCTGAGGGTCGGGGGAGTGATGGCGTGAAGGTGTGACAGAGCCCCCTGGGCTGCATCCCCAGCAGGGCTGGGGGGGGATTCTGCCCCTCTGCTCCGCTCTGGGGAGACTCCCCCCCTCAGTGCTGCCTCCAGCTCTGGGGCCTCAGCACAGGAGAGACATGGAGCTGTTGGATGGGGCCAGAGGAGGCCCCGGAGATGCTGGGAGGGCTGGAGCCCCTCTGCTGGGAGGGGCGGCTGAGAGAGTTGGGGGGATCAGCCTGGAGAAGAGAAGGCTCCGGGGAGACCTTGGAGCCCCTGCCAGTCCCTAAGGAAGGGGGGCTTTTTACAAGAGCATGTAGTGGGGGGATGAGGGGTAATGGCTTCAAACTAGAAGAGGGGAGATTGAGATTAGAGAGTTGGAAGAAAGTTTTCACTATAAGCGTGTGGAGAGCCTTGCCCAGGTTGGCCCGAGAAGCTGTGGCTGCCCCATCCCTGGAGGGGTTCAAGGGCAGGTTGGAGGGGGCTTGGAGCAACCTGGGCTGGTGGGAGGTGTCCCTGCCCAGGGCAGGGGGTGGCACTGGGGGGGCTTTAAAGATCCCTTCCCAACCAAACCATTTTGATTCTACTGAGGTGTGGCCCTTCTGGGGCAAGGGGCTGGCTGGGAACTGGACTATGATGTTGTGGGAATTGCTGTGGGTATTGAGCTGCTGTTCGTGGAGTTAATTGTGACATCCTCAGGTTAATGGTGTGAGTGATACGAATTGCTCCCCCCACACATGCATCTGGGCTGTGCCAAGAGTGTGGCCTTCTCCTACCTTCTCCCTTTCATCCACACCCGATACCTCATTTCCCTGGTCTCTGCAGGCTCGTTGTTGTTGCCCTGTGCTTCCAAGGCATTGCCTCCCCCTCTCTTGAGCTTCCCCTCTCTCCTGAAGTTCTTCAACTCCTGCTGCAGCTCCTGGCTCCATCCTCTGCCATGTCCTTGGTGTTCCTGGGCTTGGCAACAGTTTGTTGTGTCTGGGCTGTCATCAGTCACTTCTTCCCCCAACACTGCAGTGCCTTAACGCGGGCAGGTTAGGAGGAACTTCCCCCTGCTGGCAGATGACTGAATAAATTACTCTTTCTAGCAGTTTATGAATATTTATCAGTAGATCTTCTGGGACACGAGATATTTGTTTATTCTGGGGTTTCAGTTTTGAAGCGCCACGTAACAGAGAAGGGAATATTGTGCCATAATTATCTCAAACAGGTGGCACAAGCAGCCTCGAGTGGTTTAAATGGAAACTGTGTTCATGAAGGCTAAAAAAAAATAGGTTTGTGGTATTTGGTGAGGAGGGAGAGGAACTCTGAAAGTGTGTTGGGTAAAGAGGTGTCTCAGCTGGGAGGTAAAAGCTGCTGTGAAATCCTCACAGGGGGAAAAAAGTGACCCTGAACACGAGCAGGAGTGAGATTTCCAGGAACCACATTAGAGAGGTCTGGAATGAGCTTTGCAGAGGAGTGTGGGACACAGAGAACACAACACATTTCTGAGTTATCTGACTGTTTTTAAAAGAAGGACTTTAGTGTGCGTTTGTCCCTGATGACAGAATTGGGCTGGATCTGGAAGATCCTTTCTTTGTGCCCTTGTTTTATGTCTTATGCTCAACCCAGACACAGCCCCACGGTGTTCTAGTCCCTGTGTGTTTGCTTCCCAGCCTCCCTTCCTTCTTTAATAAGTATTTTTTGTTGTTGTTGCTTAGTTTTGTTTTCTTATTGGAAATCTATTTCAAGCTATTAATTATTGTTCTTTCAGGCACCGTGGTGAGGAAATGGCAGCCCTCACCCTGCAGAAGAGGAGCCGTGGCTCTACTGATTCGGATGAGTATGTTGACTTCTTCTATTTTTTATTTCTAATAAACCCACCATAATTGCTGCACATAGAATAAAATACATGTTTAAAATCCCTGAGAGCTTTTAACGTAGAATAGAAAGAGTACCTGATGGAATTCCACAAGGGCAAGTGTTGGGTGCTGCCCCTGGGGAGGAATAACCCCATGGACCAGGACAGGTTGGGGGGGACCTGCTGGAGAGCAGCTCTGAACCCCATATCATTCTGTGTCTTGGAATGTTTTATATTGTCCTGAGTATCTTGAGAGAGTTCTTCATATTTAGAGAAAATGAACGTAAAAATGATATTCCATCCATAGCAGAGCCCAGGATGAGAACTGAGAGAAAGCCATCATACTGAGCTGATATTTTACTTTTATTAAAGGAAAAAAAGAAGGGCCTTCAAAGTATCTTGGTTTGGCATCACCTTTCTCAAGTGCTTATCCCTGTACTTGACAGTCACACACAGACCTTGCCCTGAGTGAGTCACAAAAGCAGCACAAACCTAGAAACCTGACCAAACAAACCCCCTGATGTTTGAATTTCTTCGTGGCAATGCCTCAGGCTTTCCCGTTTGAAAAGTCTTTGAGACACGGTAGAGAAATACCCAAATCTGCAACAAATCATCTCATTAGTCTTCTGGTGTTAACAGAACAATAGTTCCTACGTTATGCATGCCTAAAAAAATTTTAGATTATTTTTTTTTCCCCCTTAAATTTGGTGGAGGAGAAGCCACCTGCTGAGAACAAAGCTCGTGGCTGAGCTTGAAATCCAAAAGAAGACATTTCTCATTCTGCTCTAACTCCACCACCTGCACGGATTTTTCTCCCCCTTCTCCTGTGCTTCCCCCACACAAATATTTCAGGGGGAGACCAAGTGTAAAGTTTGATTTGGGACTTAGAAGGACAAATTCCTGCGATAAGGGTGTAAACACTCGCCGAGGAGACGCCTCGTGCCAAATCCATTACAGCCAAACGTGGCCTTTGTATAAATATCTAATTTTGGCCCTAGGTTCAGAGGCTGTTAGTGATTTCCTGATGAGGTTTGAGCTTCTGAAACGCCTGTCGCAGTGAGGTTTTGGGGTGAGCCTTTTGGAAACTG